CGCTTCTGAGTTCTCAGTTGCGTTGTCCGAGGAAAAGGGCCATGTCAGTGTGTGTGACTTGGCAACGTCCTCGGCCCTCCGAGTCGGGTGGATAATCAAATGCACCATCAAACCAGAATCAAACTAGGATGAGTGAAATGCATCTTTTTATGTTTAGTTACTGTGCAGCCCTGGAATTCACTCTACTACATTGCTTTCTACATGAAAGAAATGCATATGTACTCTTAGCATTCACGTGGCTCATCTGTAAAAATAATTTATTCAAACAAGCATTGGTTTTCACACTGTCAATGCAAAAATGCTGCATATATATTGTGCAGTGTTAATGTGCAACAGATCCAGCCTTCCCGTTGCTATTCCTCACCTATTTGCAGTTAAAAAGAGCTGAATTCACACAAAAAAGCAATATTCACCTTGCCCGTCTCAGTGATGCCAGTTCAAATCCTCTCTTTGAACACTCGATAATGACTTGAGGTAGGTAGTTTTCCATTCACTGCTGTGTTTTTTCTCATCTTTAAAACAGGCACGGTTAGTTCATTTGCACTATCCTTTTTTGTAAGAGAAAACTCATTTGAAGCAGCAGGTTGTTGGCATGGTGCACCTCGTGATTGATTGCCTTGCAAGTTTATTCACCTCGCTTTATAAATTCTCCCTTATTTTGAGTTTAAGTAAGAAAAGTGCTGAAACTTTGAAAATACTTGAAGTTTCTAAAAAAAAAAACTAAAAAAAAAACATCTATTCATTGAGCTGAATCATTTTAATAGAACATCAAATAAAGTTGGGGCGATAATCAACAGGAGTAATATTGATCTAAAGTCTTTAAAGGCCCTGTAGTCGATTTGAGCAAAATTATCTTTCCTTGAGGCCAAAATATATCAGCTGTGTACTGTGTACATCTAATTATTATCTGTTAATCAGGAATGGGGTAGTTAGCATGCTAGTTGTTGTTAGCTATACTGTGATGGCTCCACTCTGGTCTCTGAAAGTTGTGAAAAGCTCTTATAAACTCAAATTCAGAATGAACTTAAAAATGAATAAGCTCTGTTTTTCATATTTTTAGGACTGTAAAGATCTGGTACGGTGCCTTTTAACTTCTGAAATGTGCTCAATAAAATGACAGCGGTATTAGTACAATGAGTTATTGCATGTTTAATATTTCTCTAATTTCACTAAATTTTAAGGATGCCAAAACACTGGATTAGATAGATTTTCTGCCTCACGTTTCCCAACATCATGCTGTTTATAACCTTGCCCCAGTGAAGTTTTATCTGGCATTTTAGCAAAGCATCTTTTTATTTCAAAGCATCTTTTTATTTCAAAGTTTGAAAATAATGCGCCTTAAGCTTTAAAAATTAGGCATTACACATCACAGAATTTCAAACCACATTTGAGCAACACATTTGATGCTGCAGGCTGGGAGTGAGCCGCCTGGTGGAAAGGGGATGCTCCATCTTGGCATGTTGCTAGGTGATGCATTAATATTAATAGAGTCTTTTCCTCTGAACGTGTGCTTTCTGCGCCCCCCCGGGATAAACCAAAGCTGGGAGATATCTCCATCTCTACGATAACTCCTTTTATCCCAGCTAAAACTCATATCAAAGCTTTTAATTACATTCAGCAAATGTATCACTGTACCACTCTGATGAGCAACTACAATGAATATGACTTCACTGATATGGATAACGCTTTGTGACACAGTCTAACTGAAATAATATATATGTCCTGTTAGAACACATGATTCAAACTCCCTGTTCAGATTTTACTTTAACAAAGCTCTTCTCTTTTCATAATACTATTCACATACAGTTCAGAACCTTTACTAGGCCTGCCATGATAGTTACAGTATTGACTAATCGTTCAACAGACATAGGTAACTGGAACAATATGTTTTATAGTGGGGAGATGTTAGCCATTTTGATGTAATACGATAAGATTTGATGATTAAATAATAGAGATGTAACAATAACCAAAATATCGTGATATCGTATCGTCAAAGGCCTCACAGTAATATTGTGGACCCTCACAATATTTTGAATTATAAGTCTCTTTGCTTTAATGAATAGTTATGGTGCAGCAGAGGGAACTACATAGACCATGATCCTTTGCTCCATTTCAGTGTAGACTACATGAAGAAATAACCGCTCTAAGCACTTTTGAGTCTCAGTCTTTAGATTAAGTCTTGTCAAGGCATTCTAAGAGGAAAAAGTAGGATATTAGTTTTGTTAGCTCCACAAAATACCACCTCCCCACCATATTGTGAACTTTCCCACAATATCGCAATAAATATTGTATTGCAAGGTTCATATTGTGACGATATTGTATCGTGAGACTTGGATATGGTTACACCCCTACTAAATAACTTAATAATAACTAAATAACTAGTTATTGATTCATTCTGCTGTTTGCAGCTCATGCCTTCATGTGAATCTAATTATATTATTGTCAGAGAATCAGGAAGTTGTTTTTTATTGTGACACCAAAAGTCTGCTCTGGTCTCTGAGAGTTGTGAAAAGCACTTATAAACTCACTGTGATGAATAATTAGGATGCTTGGATGCGTGAAGAAAATGCGGAATAATAATACTGGACCAGTGCAAAAAGTTTGAAATGAACTAGTTCTGTTTTCCACATTTTTAAGTTAGTAAAATTAAGTACAGTGCCTTGAACATGAAACAATTTTTATATTCATTTATATCCTTGGAGATTCTATTTTAATTTGATTATTTATAATACATTAAGGTCCTATGTTACATAAAATTTTCCAAACTGTTATGTTACAAAAACATACCTGAATTGTGTTTTGTTTCAATCACACATGTTTGAGTAATGCTTTATTATTAGTCTGTTTACTTCTCCAAACCTTAACAATGGCTACCTTTTACCTTTTATAAGAAAAAAATAAAAAAGAACACGGTGAAGCACTTCCTGTGGAATAGAGTGTTTTCAGTTTATATTTGCAGGGTTTGTGTGTTAAACATATGCGAATGAGACAAAACACAACTCCAGGTCTGTTTTTGATGAATGTTAGGGGGCTTAGCTCTTTTGTATAGTCACTTCTATAGTTCATTATTGTACCAAGGTCATTTGAAGGTAAGAGCTCTGATCACAGCTGTGAGAATCATAGATATATGTCAAGACAAATGCATGATATTCCAATCTATCTAATAGCAAACTAACTAAGTAGGACAAGAACTACTGATAGGGATGATGTCATGACTTGTTAGCCAGATAACACCCCGTATGGAGTCTGATTGGACTATGCAAAGTGCGAAGAGGCCTGGCTGACCTGTCCACCAACGAAGAGCCGCTAAGTCTAAACCACGGTAGCCTCCCACTATAAGTTTACGTATAAAAGTCATTGTATAGGCGTAAAACATTGAATCTCTGCATGAGAATGTCAGCACAGACTCCTTGTACAAGTATGACTTTCTAATATCGGAATAAGTAAATTATCTGGACTTTATTTCTGTTTCAAGTGTAATTTCTATCTAAGCAGAAACTAACGAACACGTGAGGAAAAGGTTGTTTTCCTCAACATAAAATAACAACAAAATAGCGTATAAGCCCTTTAAACAAAGCTCATCAAAAGTACAATATTATTTTTGTGTTTCTGTCTTTCTGTTTACATGCATGTGTTTATTCACCAAAATGATTGTGCTCCCAACAGAACGTGTGTAATAGAGTTGGCCCGCTGCCTCACCTTTCCCCTGTCGAGCTTTTAGCCTCAAGTCTTTGTGGGGGCTGTGCGGCACCTCTCGCTGCCCTCCCTGCTGCCCTCTCTGCAAAACCATTTTCCTGGCACCAAAACACAGATGTTATCCATCTGATTAAACGTTCAAGGTTACATCTCCAAATACATCAAAGTCTGCCTCTCCCAAAAGAAGCCGGCAGTGTGGCAGCAGTGTTTTGGGTCGCCGTGGGGTTCTCTGTCCCCACTGTGGTTTTTCATTCGCTCATGAAAGAAATAGGAAAAAGTCGCGCCTTTGCCAAAACAACTATGGTGCATTCGGATCTCTGGTTGACACACGTTCACTTGTTTACATGGTGGATTTGAGTTGATGAGAATAATAAGCTTGAAGAAACACCGGTCCACATTCTTGTGAATATGGAATTTAATTTATTTTGCCAACAGTTAACAACGAAACAAGTCACTGAATTCATGCCCCAGAGCTCATAGGGAGGATAACACTGAAGGAGAGAACGAGAACTGATGGAATGGTATGGATTTACAGGCTATAGATTTGCCTTATTTTGGGCTTTTAGAAGTATTGAAAATCAGATACAAATTGATCATTTAAAAAAACAACAAAAAACTCAAAACTAGATCATTTAAGCATGTATCAATACTGAAAAAGAAAAAAAGAAAAACACATAACTGCATAATGTTTGATCTTGAGTTTTATCAGAACATGCTTTAAACAAATATTCTGATTTACCATAAAAATTACGTTATTGCCTAAAAAGAACTTAAAACTAAATCTATATCAAGAACTGAGTATGTTAAATGTTGATTGAAAGAAGTGATATGAACAGTTCATTAGCTGGGTTCCTGAATCAAAACTTTAGCCACCACATTATCCTTCCCAAAGTAAGGAAGCTGTGTTTTTTTATTGTTGCTGAGTCTAAAAATGTTTTCGAATGTTTTGACATTTCCATGTTTTATTACATTTTGCAGAGAGTTTCTTTTGTCAGGTTTGGAACTTTCTCCAAATAATTGGTGTTATTTGAATATTTGGCAGTGTTAGAAGCTTTCGTTAAAAATAATCTTGCCAGTTTTTCTGTTGCCAAAAATATTATTGAATTATATTAAGCCAATTTCATATCATTTTTATTCTACCATATTCTATTATTGAAAGAATATAATACACGGAATCCTAATGAAATGTAAGACTTAATCATGGTCCATATCCTCTCATGAAAAATTGCAAAGAAGCAACATGTGTCTTATGCTACTTTCATTGCCATATAAAAACAGTAACATTTTGTCTTTTGTCTTTTCAGAAATCGAAAAAATCCAGAAAGATGAGGGGAAAGAGGAGGAGAAGGAGAGGTTCATCGATGTTGTCATCAACAAGAACATGAAACTGGGGCAGAAAGTTTTAATACCCGTCAAGCAGTTTCCTAAAGTAAGTGTAACCCCTCCGACACCACCAGGGACTCACAACTCCACAATCTGTGTTATTTATAGATAATGAAACTAACTACAGTGACTGCAACTTCAATTTCTCCCAACAGCCACTTGACAGATTTTGTTGATGCTTTGTAAGTTATTAGATGCAGCGTGTAGCGGAGTGCTGTCTGACAGAACTGGGCTAGAACTATATTAGGGGGCTAACATTTCTCTTTTTAACAATAGTTGCAGTGTTAGTATATAAACCGAAGCATATAGGGAGAATATGTTTCACTGACCTTGGACAATGACGCTTTAATGCAGTCCTATAGTAATTTGGCAATGAATATTTATGAAAAGCTACACAAGATTTGCGATACAGTGTTTTTTATAAATCTTAAATAGATGGTGGTATAACTGAAGGATTTTCACAAGTCTTCCAAAGTTTGAAACGACATATTCATCTAGAACTGGACAAACACCCTGTATCTGATTTTTTTCATGTATTTCAGCATAATTTGTTTTGTAATATATAAACAGCTCTTGAGGTCAAAATATGTCCACCGTGTTCTGTCTGCAAATGATCAGAAAGTGTGCGTTAGCATGATCATTTTTAGTTTTACCATATGTTATGATTACCAGAAGATATCTCTGCTCTGGCCTCCAAAAGTTTTGAAAAACACCTATAAACTTAGTGCACTGAAAAATTGGTATGCCTGGAATGCATAAGGTAAGTGAGCAATAAATTTGGAACACTGCAAACTGAACTAGTTTGAACCAGTGTTTTTCACGTTTCAGGTTTGAATAAAATCATGATCCAGTTGTTTAAAATTCTCTTTTTAATCGAACATATTAGAAAACAAAATAAAAAGTCATTACCTGCATATAATGTGATGTTAGACTGTGTGATGTTGCCCCTTGTTTGAAGCCTTTCTAGCAGAGTCGTGTCTGAGGACCTGAGAGCAGCCCCGCACTAGAGGCTTCAGTGACAGTGAGTGCGTGGCAGGGACATGACAGGGTATTCCCCGTGGGAGGGCCTCGGGCAGGTTGGTGTAAAAGTGCTGGGGTCACACTACTCACACAGACATCACTCAAGTCTGGGCCAAAGCACAGGAGGACGTGTGGCCATCTCTGCAGTGGTACAGTTCTAGACCACACAAAGACGTGCTATTTTGCGCACTCTGAACAAAACTGGAGAGGGATTCACAGGAAAAGATTGACACCTGCATTTTAACAATAAATGTGTCAAAATCACCATTGTCACGTTTTACATTAGTCGTCACTTCAAACTGGGAATTATCATGTAATTGACATGACATTGCACATGTTTACTTGCAAAAAAACTGCTTTTGTCAAATAAAAAGTAGTAACAGTGACAGAATTGATTAATGTTAGAAAATAGAAACTAAACTCAAGTAACAATAAGTAATAAGTTTGCTGTTTATTTTGACTTGATAAAAATAAAATGTAGCATTTTAACATTCTTTCTTTTTCCATACTGCAGACAAGCAACATTACAATGTACTGCCTAAATATTTATTTTAGTAAAATACAGCTGCATCTGTTTCATTATTGGCTGATATCTTTGACAAGGGACATGAGATGGCATTTCCTTCGTACACTGTACATTAAAAAGTGGGTTATGCTTTAAATTAAGGGTCCTTAGTAAAGGCATTAAAAAGCACTAGCCACTGTTTTTAAGCATGTACAGTATACAATTTTGATTGGAAAAAACCTGATGCATGCATGCACATTTTGACACAGTGATATGTAAATTAAGCATCTAATCTAAAAAAAGGCTCTCTAGTGCCTCTTTATTTTGAAAATGTTTTAGAAGAATGTCTGTTTGCCATGGACAAATTACAAGATCTTATTTGTGATGGGGAATAATCTCTCTAGATTTGACTTTTAAGAAAATCTAATAAATTGTTGAAAAATAAATTGTGGTATTAATAAGGTGGGCTGAGCATGGGCTGTGTGGTGGGAGCTTGTAGACGTACTGCAGCGAACTTCCTGGTTATGTCGCCTTCTGAGTGGAGAGTATAATCAAAAGTCTTTACTCAAAATTAGAGCTCACTGAGTTTTAATTAGATGCTCCGGATGTGATTTTGATTCATCCCTTGTCTACATTTCTTATACGCTGTTACAAAAATACACTGACTGTGTGACTTATTAACAGGCTAGTTTGTTATGGCCTTACTTGGCTTAAAATAAAAAGTTACGTTTTTGTTGTGTAATTATTCATGGTTACAAAAGTACTCCATACTTGAGATGGAGGGAACTTGAACACAACTTTATAAACTTAATAGTAATAAAGCCTTTGTAAATGTATTTATTAACCTGCCTTCTGTTATAATCAAATTAAGCATTTTTATTGAATACAACTCATGAATCACTTGATTTGTTGATAATATTATAATAACATGTTGTGTTGTTAATGAATTATTGACATCATAAAACATCTACAAATGATTCTTAAGGCTTTATAAGTGCTTATTATAGCCTTAGAAATTCTTTACTAAGGAACCATATTTTAAAGTGTTGCCAAAAAGTGAATAGCGTTGGTACTAGAAAACAAACAAAACTTTATCTTGAGTTTAGTTGTAACAGTAAGTAATATTCTACACATAGTTACAGACATGAAATCCAATCTAAGTTATTAGCAACCACAAAGCTATTTTCTCCTGCTGGTGTCACTTACATAGCCTTGAAATTCAATCTAGTTGCTAATTGGTGAAGCCAGTGTAGTCTACTAGTTATTGACATTCCCTGAGCTGAATCAGGTGCAAAGAATGCAGTGGCTCTTTCTGTATGCAGTGTCACTTGAGGGGTGATCTAAGTTGTGCAGGTTCCTGGCTAAACAGATTTACTTTGACAGCTTTGATAAGTAGAGCCACTAATACGCTGTTTAGAGCTCCAACAAGCCACCGGAGGAAGACAAATTCAATTTGTTCCATCTGACAGGTAGCAATGGCAAGAGTGATCGGTCGGACTTGAATTGGTTTTTCTCCTGAGCCTCGAGCATCACCTTTTGGCTTCTGGCATTGAAGTGGCACGGCCATTTTCCCAATAGCCATTTAGAAGCACACTGAGTGAGCTTGAATCCATCCTCGGCAAACACTGCGTTTTATCAAAATGAGGCGAGCAAGGACACGCAGCAGCAGGTTCCAGGCTGCTGATTCTCTGTGATAAAGCGCTCCTACCCAGTACTGATGAATGCCTGGACCTGCTCCGCTATTGGCACGAGTAATGGTATAAATGTGTTCTGCAATAGCACTGTAGAGAAATCAAAGTCTTCTTTTCATCTTTTATGTTTGCCCAACGCCCAACCAATTATTTAGAAATCACATGACCGCATTGGAGCCACAGACATTACCCTGACAGAGTAATGCCTCCTCCTGCCATATAGTTTGGTTGGCAATCTTTCAAACTGCCTTTTCCATCATTATGATTTGACTCTTGGCAAAAGGGAATACAGCTAAACATATTTTTGTAGATCCTGCTCCTTGCTACAATAACTCTGGATAAATGGAGGACACAAAGCTACTGGCTTGTTCTTAATCCAAAAATGAAATTGAGCTGTTGAAGACCTTGACCAAAACAATAAAGAAGGATTGGAACTAATGATGCAGCTAATGATAGACGAGTGTCTATATGTGCTTCAGCTCCACCACTGATCCACATTGTACTTCGATTCTCTTACTAAAGTTGGCTTAGGGTTCAGCCTTCAGTTAGGTGTACTTATCAAAAAGAAAACTGTAAAAGACCTAGCTATTGGTGCAAGGTAGCTACCAACATACATACTTATCATCAAAGAAATGTCATCGTGTACATGAAATGGTTTTGTTGTGCTTTAAGCCCTCGAGAAAACCTTTTTATGTGCAGCTCATCAGTCCATGCATGTGTGTGTGTGTGTGTCTTGTGTTCTGGCAGGGAGCTGAGCGGCCCATTAGCCATGTGTAAGGAGTCCCCCTGGTTTGTCTCCAGTGCTGTGGCAGTGCTGTGAGCCTGGAGCATCCATTCATCGTGCCCTGCTGTCCTCAGCACAATCGCTCTGTGAGCACACCTTTCGCCAGCCCAGCAGTAATACATTCAGTGTATGATGAAAAGATCTGAGGTGCCCCCACCCTACCCCTGTGCTCCGGCTGACTCAAACTACCATCTCTCCTCCCCATGCTGCCTCTTTAGCTCAACTGTGATCAGTCATACACTTAAAGTAGATGCTGTCTTTACACTTGTCTTTTTCTGCTGATATAAACAAATTTGAGCAACAGTTCTATTGTTTGCACTTTGAAATTTGTGTTCTATTTCTGGAGTCATAAACTGTACTTGAACTGTTTGTGAACCAGGCATGAAAGATATGACAGTAAACACTATATTGTGTTCTAACACTGTTGTCCAGTCTCTCCTCTAATTGCCAACCTCCGTCATCCTCGGAGTGAGTGACAGTTGGATTTAACTGTTCACAGATGATCAGATCACTAAATGTACATGAGTCATGATCATCATCAAAACTTTGATTTGGCTTTAATAAAATGATTATATATATATATTCTGGCACATTGCCCATCCCTCATGGGAACTTTATAAAGAAACAGTGCAATTCCCTGAAGATTAAAATGCAAAACTTTAATTCAAACAGTGCTCCCCTGCTGTATCTTCACTATTAGACTCAGTTAATCCGAACTTTCTACTGCCTATGCACCCTATGACTTCAACATAGGCTTATATTGCTGCCCAATCCTCTCACTCGGCCTAGTGACAGGATGGCGCGGTACAGGCAGGTTTCGTGAGTCACCTAATCCTCGGTGATAACTACAGCATTAGCCAAAGCCCAAAGCATCAATCGCAGCAGGAGTCAGATGGGATCCTGATATGTGATAAACAGCAGGGATTACAATATGACGACGGTGCCAGCCATATATTCAAAGGGATCATGCATATACGGTGTTTTTAAATATCCAGATTAAGCTTCATGTATGACATTAACGAGCATTAGTCTGACAAATTGACCAC